TTTCTGGGTTTTTGAGTTGTTCCGTGCTGATGCAGCCTGGTCTAAGAACAGAGATGATCTGGGACATTTAAAGACATTTATGGACATGTATTAACGTCTGTGGACATTGGTCATCCCCCAATGTGTCTGTTAATATTGCATTTCCTGAGTTTGAGCTGTTTGATTCTCTGATCTGTGTTAAGTCCTCCAAGACGACAGCTGTAGTGTTTTAGGGCTATACAGAAATACAAAAACATTGCATTGAATGGCTGCTTCTTCTGTTCAGTCTGAACTCGGATTACTAAAGGTTTAAAGATAAAATACACTGGATTTCACCAAAGAAATGGCAACCCATAAGAGCTGACTCATAGATTACTCATTCTACTTTCTGATTAGATTCTCAGTTTGAGAAATGCAAACATAAGCCTGCGGTCATCGTGGCCATTGTTTATGTAATTAAGAATATATCATGCTCCTCCGATAAGGCCATGTTGGATTTGGACATTACCTGAAATCATATCGTCTCCATAAACCACCCACTTATTGCCGATAGTGTGTCTGTTTTATACTTAAAACAGTACCATAAAAATACTCATCTATAAATATTTTAGTTTATGTTCTTATTTTAAATCATTCATCTCCCCGTGCTGTTTACCTTAAGCCCTGGTGTTTATTAAGTTATTTCCTCATAATTATTCAGTCTTGAATAACGCCATCAGCAATGTCCGCTGTCTGGCTTTCTGCCGTCTCCGGGGCAACCTCTAATCCTGCGTAAACAGTGCAAAATGTATTAAAACGGTGGAGCTAATGTGATTGTGCTGATCTGATTAAGAGAAGCATCTGAATCATCTGTGGACGGCGCTGACAAGGCAGGAACAGGAAATTATAGCATTTATGGGTGGAGACCAGAACACGGACTTCTGACTCACACTGCAAAAAAACGGATGAAAAATACGTAAAAATGGCTCAAATGTTAATCTTAATTTTAGCACATTCTGACTGAGCCTTGAAGAAATTGACAATGGGATAAGGAGCAAAATTATTTCAAAAGATAAAAGAAATGTCTCCCTTGGAATGAGAAAATACAGCAACAATTGAAAATGAAACTAAATGGCTGTGTCTCATTTGATCACAGTCAGAATCTATTCAAATGAAGACAAAAACCACTCGTTTCAAGCATTTATTACCTCATATTTGATCATTTTTTTCAGTGCAAACCTGATTTGTGTTGTTTCAAAGTTAAGGATCCAGCTTTAACTTATGACCCTAATATACAAATTACACAAATGTTGTTTTTCTCAATGACTTTTTACCTCTGACCGTTTGACTTTGGGACCGGAGCCCTGTTCTCTGGGAGTTTATTCTGAGCCGTTGTGTCCTTGCCTTTTTTTTATGTAGGACATGTACACAATAACATCCAACATGAACACACAATAGAACACTGAATAAACACACACAAAAAATTCAATACAATCCTAGACAGAACACACATTAGAAGAAACAAAAACAAGACAATAACAAAATTAAATACAAACTTTACAAATGTTACGTGTGCAAAAACCTCATTCAGAAAAATACCTCCATTCCTTACTTCTCTCTTTCCTTCTTTGTGAGGGTATAGTATTTCCCACTCTGCTTTGTTTTTAGATTCATCATTATTAGAGCATTATTATTTTCATTCTCCCACATTCAACACATTATATCTCCGACACTTTTTAAAGAAAATGTAATATATGTCACATACAATAACTGCATGGCGGCACGTGGCTGAGTGGTTAGCACTCTCGCCTCTCAGTATGAAGGTCCTGGGTTCGAATCCTGGTCGTAACAGGGCCTTTCTGAGTGGAGTTTGCACCACTAAAAATATGTACAATAGGTCTGGCAGGCGCCTCCTGTACTGGCCCCATTCCCATCTCTGTGTGAGAGACAAATGCCCAAAAATAACAATTGTAAGCCGCTTTGTGACTCTGGTCTGTGAAAGGCAGTATATAAATAATGAGTTTGTTATGTATATTTTGTGTTTTTCTCCCTTCGAGCGTACAGGGCACTTAGGCCTTTTGTCGTTGTAAATGTGAGACATACATAAACTTGACTTTGACTTATATGGTCGTGTGGAGTAGGCAGGATCAGTAGTGACTGGTAAAATTATAAAAAGTCAGTGTTTGTTTGTGAAGCCGCTTTAAACAAAGAAGTATAGCACTGCAACGAGATTGATTTGAATATATTAAAATCGCTGTTAACTCATTTAGTAAATGTTTTTTGAGCCTAACACAGACTTAAAGATGCTGGGAACAGGTTTTATGACTCAGATAATTCTATAATGACGGCAGAATGAAATGACAGTGTGTTCACGGAGTATTTTTAGTCACACATGTGTAGTTTCCAGGGGCAACACTTGAGCTTTGTTTTGTTCAAAGGTAAAAGAAATCCCATTTTCACTGACCTTTCGGGAGCTACACAACTAATCAATCCATCAAAAGAATGATTTTCCAACGGAGCGACCCACAGAGAAGCAATGACAAGGATCGGATCTCCCATATTTCTCAAATCCAAACTGTAACACATTAGTTAGATATCCTTAGTATAGATATAATGGATTATTGTCAGATTATATTCTTCTCATTTTGATTATAGACAACTCGCATGGCCTTGTCCACTGTCTCTTTGTTTCTCTCTGATTAATTTCCTAGGAACCATGCACTTGTTATTGGGTTGAACATAAACTCTATCATTAGATTTGGAGAAAGCATTTACGTTTTACAAAAGGCGTTACTGCCGCCTGATAAAACACAAATAACACGCACTACTTTACTTTACTTTACTTTACATTCATTACCGTCATGACAATCCTCCCCCTGGGTTTTTCATGCGACGGGAAATGTTTGAAGACTGGTCCTCTTAACACAACCACTGGAGCAAGTGCAGCCCTGGGCCTGTTGTTATGTAAGCGGGAGTCCATGAGGAGATATTGCGGCTTTTTAACTGTGTCTTTTAAAACCGAGAAGCACACAATTAGACTGAAATCTGTGGTTTTTGTATTCTCAGTATGAGCCCATAATGTCATTCATTTGAAATCCTTGTTCTATCTGCTCTATCAGACAAAATCACTGTCTTTGTTCCCATTGTAGATCTCTCAGGTCATGTTGCATATTAGTGTCTCAGAAAGATGAATATTGGGCAGGAAATGATATTGTTTATACAGAATGTGACATAGTATCAGACTTGTGGGGAAGAGGGAGCAGCGTCTGCATTCAGAGCTGTATCAGACTGTTGTGGTGAAGAGGGAGCAGCGTCTGTAGTCAAAGCTTTATAAGACTGTTGTGGTGAAGAGGGAGCAGCGTCTGTAGTCAAAGCTTTATAAGACTGTTGTGGTGAAGAGGGAGCAGCGTCTGCATTCAGAGCTGTATCAGACTGTTGTGGTGAAGAGGGAGTAGCGTCTGTAGTCAGAGCTGTATTAGACTGTTGTGGTGAAGAGGGAGCAGCGTCTGCATTCAGAGCTGTATCAGACTGTTGTGGTGAAGAGGGAGCAGCGTCTGTAGTCAAAGCTTTATAAGACTGTTGTGGTGAAGAGGGAGCAGCGTCTGCATTCAGAGCTGTATCAGACTGTTGTGGTGAAGAGGGAGCAGCGTCTGTAGTCAGAGCTGTATAAGGCTGTTGTGGTGAAGAGGGAGCAGCGTCTGTAGTCAGAGCTGTATAAGGCTGTTGTGGTGAAGAGGGAGCGGCGTCTGCATTCAGACATACATACAAACATACAGAGGAGGGCTAATGAGTTAGAACTGTTACCCAAAAACATGTTTAGAGAGAAACTATAGTAGTATAAGGACACACAAGTCACATAAAGTGCTTTGGGTGACTGTAAAATGCGCTATGTACATAAACATGACATATACTTACTTACACATTGGGTTAATTTATGTTTCTTTATTTGACAATGATATTACAATATTGAGTGTCTCTTAAAATGTGTGCTCTATATATACGAATTCATGTGCCCTTTCCTCAGTTAAGGATTGGATGGTTTTTTTCTAATCCACTGCCTTCTTTATACTGTAGATATTATCATTTTAATATGAAGTCCACTTGACGAGGGTAATACGAGCTCCTTTTATTTTAAGCTTTGAATAAAATTGAATACATTTTGTCTTTAAGCTGTGGTGACCTTTAAAACGGAGATTCCCTGGAATACCGCAAACGAGGTTATGATTTAAATATCGTTCGTCTCATAATCTAATGTGCCAGAGGTTAACAGCCAAATTAGAGGATGCTTTACTGTCCGCTTTAGAGGGAGATCAAGTCTAAACCAGTTCAAACTGCCATTGGTTTGAGCTTCATAGTGTGTTGTATGACTAGAAGGAGATGGGGGATGACTAGCCTGGTCGTATACCACACCATGGTACTAATTACATTTCTTACTAACGTCTGGCTTTGGGCGGCACCGTGGCTGAGTGAAGTTTGCATGTTCTCCCCGTGTCTGCGTAGGTTTCCTCCGGATGCCCTGGTGTCTCCTACCACTAAAAACATGTACAATAGGTCTGGCATGCGCCTCCTGTACTGGCCCCGCTCCCATCTCTGTGAGGAGTGAGAGACAAATGCCAACAATTGTAAACCGCTTTGTGACTCTGGTCTGTGAAAGGCGCTATATAAATAAAGTAAATTAATTACTTACTACTACTCCATTGAGCTCCGTTAACAGGTGGGAGGGGTTAACTCCTTTTGCAGATCGAAGCGATTGGATTGAAACCTGACGTATGTAATGCGCCAGAGTGAGTCACTATCATTTAGTATTCAGCCTAGCTTTAGCCATCTCCTTTGCCACTTACGGCGCAAACTCTTGTCACCCACATCTGAACCTACAATACCCACCCCCCGCACTCGCTGATTGGTCTGAGGGGATTCAACCGATGTAACTGCAGACACTGGGATTAGACCCAGACGGTAAATGCAGGGAAATGATTATTGAAACAGGTGAGACCAATAAATAAGAGTGTAATATGTATATCTGCCTCCCCGTCTCTCCACAGCGATGCCAGCCTGTCCGATGTGCTGTCCGACCCGGAGGACGGCGATCTGGGCAGCGTGGAGCGGCTGGAGCGCGGCAGCACCGACACTTTGGCCAACGGTTGCCGCGTCGACACAGAGGCGGCCAAACGCCTCGCCAAGCGCCTGTACCACCTGGAGGGCTTCAAACGCTGCGACGTGGCACGGCACCTGGGCAAGAAGTGAGTGACCGAGCTGGAGAAAGCAGCACACAGGGTTTTCAACATAAAGGATTTCAGACATGGCAACCATCACATACAAACATGAGGAACATTTTAAGCTTTTGTTTTTGTTTTGACCATTCTAAGGGGGGTTAAAACTGTACATTTTATTAATAAAACTAATACACTGTAGAAATCTCAGATACCTAACTATTATTTTTGTTTTTTCCCAACAGAAAGAGACTTGTAAAAGTAAAATGTGCCTCAAAATGTGTCTTCCACTGTCTGGATACTTGTCAGAAAGAGCCGTGCGAGTCACTATTTGACTCTTTGGGCTAGGAGCTGATTGAGTGAGGCTGGTCCTGTCTTTTTAATTTCTTCCCAAATTTTAAGAAAGAACCACCCTCTCCACTTTTTGAACAAAACTCTCTGGTCTAACAACTCTTACAGCCCTAACCCATACAGCCCTAACTCTTACAGCCCTAACCCATACAGCCCTAACTCTTACAGCCCTAACCCTTACTGCCCTAACTCTTACAGCCCTAACCCTTACTGCCCTAACTCTTACAGCCCTAACTCTTACAGCCCTAACTCTTACAGCCCTAACCCTTACAGCCCTAACTCTTACAGCCCTAACCCATACAGCCCTAACTCTTACAGCCCTAACCCTTACAGCCCTAACTCTTACAGCCCTAACTCTTACAGCCCTAACCCTTACTGCCCTAACTCTTACAGCCCTAACCCATACAGCCCTAACTCTTACAGCCCTAACCCTTACTGCCCTAACCCTTACAGCCCTAACTCTTACAGCCCTAACCCATACAGCCCTAACTCTTACAGCCCTAACCCTTACAGCCCTAACTCTTACAGCCCTAACTCTTACAGCCCTAACCCTTACTGCCCTAACTCTTACAGCCCTAACCCATACAGCCCTAACTCTTACAGCCCTAACCCTTACTGCCCTAACCCTTACAGCCCTAACTCTTACAGCCCTAACTCTTACAGCCCTAACCCTTACTGCCCTAACCCTTACAGCCCTAACTCTTACAGCCCTAACTCTTACAGCCCTAACTCTTACTGCCCTAACTCTTACAGCCCTAACTCTTAAAGCCCTAACTCTTACAGCCCTAACTCTTACAGCCCTAACTCTTAAAGCCCTAACTCTTACAGCCCTAACTCTTACAGCCCTAACTCTTAAAGCCCTAACTCTTACAGCCCTAACTCTTAAAGCCCTAACTCTTACAGCCCTAACTCTTACAGCCCTAACTCTTAAAGCCCTAACTCTTACAACCCTAACTCTTACAGCCCTAACTCTTACAGCCCTAACCCTGTTCCTCCAGAGTCTGATCACATAAAGTCACAGACGGTCTCAGGCACTGTCTCCGTCTCTCGTCGCCTGCTCCTTCTGCTGTTTTTATCCTTTTATTCTTGAAAAACAGTGTAAAATCTCAGAGTTAATTGTTGTTTGTTGCTTTGAGGTTGAACTGTTCATGTTTACTGTCGCTTCATAGTTTATGCCGCAAGGGTGGAGCGCTATTTTTTCTTCATCTTTGAGTACAACCGAGAAAAAGTGCAATACTGCGCTATTTATCCTTGTATTTGGTTTATAATAAATACAAGCCAAGATTCCCCCTTGTTTGAATAAAAAATACATCATATTTATTTTTCTACAGCGTTATTAGAAATTATTATAGATTTAGTAGATTTTAAAATATGATTAAAGCTGCACTAACTGACTTTATTTTTGTATTCATTACGAAAATGCTATCCATGTCCATGTAGTGCATTGGGATATACATCATTTTGTAGCGCAGATTTGTGCTGGCGTGACATTATATTTTAGATCGAGTTTTGATTAAACAAGGAAGAGAATGTGTTTCGGGTCGCGGATTGTGACCAATCACCGCGGACCACTAGCCCCCACTTTCGTGAGAAATCTACAGGTCCGTTAGCACAGACAGCTGAGTTAGCACAACAAGCCGAGGAGCTAACCTGAAGCTTCATGTCTTCGTCACCGGTTACTGCTTACACAGCGAGACAGCCATCCAAAAGAAAGCCCCGTTCCTCCGCTCTTCCCGGTTCTATCGTTCTATGGTCACGCCATCCACGTACAAATCCATATTCGTGTATTATCCATATTGGGAGACGCTAACTCCGTCCCAACAGTGGGTGTGTGTGGGGGGCGATAGCTTCGTGGGTGCGGGGAGGGGAGCAGAAAGAGCGAGGCCAGCGAGTCCGCGGCTTCAAAATCCCACAGTCAGTTAGTGCAGCTTTAATATATATATCAAATTGCTTTTAAAGAATGCAAGGAGGAGAAAGGAGTCCTCGCTCGTCACTTCTACACAACATCATATAGTGGTCACAACAAAGGCAGATGAAGTTAGCAAACAGCAGCTTTTTTTTTCTTTGAGCAAAAATGCCTGCACAACAATAGATAAAATAAATAATAGTTAAACTGTGGGAGTTGGCTGTGGTCAGAGGAGCCAGGAGAGAGAGAGAGAGAGAGAGCGACGACGTCTCGGCTTCAGGAACATAGACATTGTTCAAACAGGCGTGAATTACTATAAAAACATTTACAAAAATATACTGTATAACATGGTGCGTCCCTTTAAAGCAGGGGCACCCAACTTAAACATTGGAAGAGTGCTTTGTCCTTGTTTATGTTGTATATTAACAGATTTTTCTCACAATATTATCTTATTATTATTCTTATTTTTACATTATTACTTTAATGTTTGTTTTTTTAATTGTGAAATTGCGAGCAAATGTGACATTGCTATTTCCCTTGTGGATCAATAAGGTCTGTCGAAGTCAATGTCTAAATTCCACGTGTTCTATCCCTAGTTTTCACATGTATTATTGTCACATCTTTACGTCAGATCAGATATTCCAGACAGAAAAGTGAATAAAAGACAGCTCTCATCCCAAATAGTCAAAAAGTGACTCTCTGAGCTCTTTCTCACAAGTCTGCCACATTCTTGCGGAATAAAGGCGGCATGTCGTGTGTTTGATTTGTTTACATTTTACTTTTCCAAGACTTTTTTCCATCAGAACAAACAAAGTGAATTATTTCTGTGACAAAAAGTGAGGTACCCCAGCTTTAACTGTTTGTCCTGTTGTTGCAGTAACGACTTCAGTCAGCTGGTGGCGTCAGAGTACCTGAGCTTCTTTGACTTCACGGGTCTCTCTCTGGACCGGGCCCTGAGGTAAAGCCGCTGCATGTGTGTCTAGTTTACTCTGACTCGGAGCCTCACGTCGTCAGTCGGTTTCTGGTGACATCACAACTTTAAAGTCGCTCTCCAACTTTTCACACTTTGCTGAACGCCATCATCACAGAACCAAATACAGGATTTATCACAACCAAGACGGTCCTGGGTTCGATTCTACCCCCAGACAGGGCCTTTTTGAGTTGAGTGTATATATACATCGACTTTTCAAAGTTAGATACAATATTGATTTTTTTAAATATTTTTTCCAGAAACACTTTTATAACAACTAATATTCAATAAATTAATATTACCTCATTTTTTAGATCAGGGGTGTCAAACTCACTTTGGTCGGGGGCCAAGTTTAAAAAACATAAGAGCTGGTTGGGGCCAGAAGTATAAAACGTTTTTTTGTCCTTTGACAAATTTATTGTAATAGACATGAGTTTGGATTCGAGCACAGCTGCAGAGGGGGAGACAGTGGCTCAGTTGGTAGAGCTTTGGCCTTTGAGCCGGAATGTCGTGGGTTCAAGCCCACCACGAGACCCTCTCCACTGACTCTCACTGATGTCTGCTGTCGTTGTGTCCATGGGCAAGGCACTTAACCCAATTTGCCTATAAGGAGCACGGAAGTGGTGTTCACTGCTTGCCTTGATGTTTGTATATGCATAAATTAATGTGATTTTTACATGTATGTACAGTATTTGTATCAAACTAAAATTTCCCCATTGTGGGACAAATTAAAGACTTTCTTCTTAAAATACTTTTTTTTTCTTCTAATTTTAGTTTACAAATAAAGTTTACTCTATAAATTGTCTTTTCGGCCTGATTTGGCCCACGTTCCTGAGTTTGACTGGCCTGATTTAGAAGAATGTTGTATTGAATTGAAAGTCCCCTGTATTAAGTATCTTTTCAGCTCTGAAACATACCCAGCTCTAATTGTAGATTGATGGATGTGTTTCTGCTGCTGGAAAACTGAATTTCTATCTATTATGTGTCAAATACCAACATCCAAGACCCATAACAAGAGCATTTATTATGGATTGATAATTTGGTAGATTGTTGTTGCCCTGAAACAACAATCCTACAGCTGTTCCATAGATACAAAACACATCTGTTTGTCCTCTGTTGTTTGTGCCTTAAGAAAATATATTCCGGAATAATTTGTTTTTGGCATCTACCATTGATAAAAACGCTTTTCTCCTGTTTGTATGACAGCATCTCCTGGTTTGGTTTCAACAAGTTCCTGTTTTGTAGGAACTTCCTGAAGGCCTTTCCTCTGATGGGGGAGACTCAGGAGCGAGAGCGTGTCTTGGTCCATTTCTCCCAACGCTTCTGTCAGTGCAACCCGCAGACACCCTCCTCACAAGGTACTCCACTAAAGAATTAAACTTGTACTTTTACTGAACTATGTAGATTATATTACAGGATTATTTTGAAACAAATTAATGGGACTTTTTGATTTTAAACTTGATACAGGTTGCAACCCTTTCCACTTTCAACAAAATTCCCATTGATTTAATCTAAGAAACCAAACCACTTGGAATGGTCCAACAATGAACACAAAGCAGAATTAAAAGTAACAGTAGTAATGTTTAATGATAGATATTGTTGACAACTATTTTAATGATGTATTAGTTGAAATGGTTCAGCTTGAGTCCTGACCAGAACCAGGAAGTACCATCCCATTAGTCCAGTTCTCAGGTCTCTGCTCTGACTTCCTGTGGCTCAGAGAATAGACTTTAAGCACGACCTTGCACCAAAGCACATCCGGGACACTAAACATTGGGAGGCAGCATTTACTACAATCTTCCTGAAAATGTGAGACAGGCCTCTACTCTGAAAATGTTCAAATCCAGGTTAAAAACAGTTCTGTTTAACTGTGCTACATCTGAGGGATTTATCTTCATTCTTTTTAATCAATTGTGATTATTTATGATTTTAATGCTCTGCTTGATTTTAATTTATTTTCTTAATTTCTTCAGCACTTTGAGTTCCCATGTGTGTGAACTGTGCTATACAAATAACCTTGCCTTGCCTCGTAAACTACATATCTTATCGTGCAAATAGACACTAAACTAAACTAAAAGCAAACCAAGCGGTGAAAGCATTATTAACAAGATTATTATTCACTCACATACAGTAGATAGATTAAAAAACCCATGGTATGAACATTGTAACAAACAGACTTTTAAATAATAATAATAATACTTTTTATTTGTAGTGCACATTTCCAGGAAACCCCAAAGTGCGACTACTTTAACAAGAATCTGCATATGATTTGTCAGCACTAATACATTTCCGTCCTCTTAACGTTGCTTTGAGGAGGACCCAGGCCCCACAGACTCTACTGCCCCTTTGACCTGTCACAGATTTACATAAAGAAGAGGATAATTACACTCGTAATCTGCTCGAGCTGCAAAACTGTGACCTTCAGAGAGAAAGGTGCTCTTACCAACAGCAGGACGCACAAATCAGACTGGAGTGTTTTCTACCAGCTTCTGCTGACGAATGAGGAGGTCTCTATACGGCTGTCAGGCTATTTAACCCTATTCAGTTGGATATAAACGAAAAGTCTACCTCAGCGGGTGACTATATGTAGAGAAAATTATGAATGATCTGTTAAGAGCTTTGAATGTTTTATTTTCAGACGGAGCCCACACTCTGACCTGTGCACTCATGCTGCTCAACACAGACCTCCACGGACACGTACGTCCACGCACCTATATGCACGTACACACACTTACACACACGTACACGCACCTATATGCATGTACACACACTTACACACACGTACACGCTCATCCTCCCCTGGGAAGTTGCACTGTGTCACTTATCGCTTCATGTGTAAGTTGAAAATAGTGTAGTGTAGTTGACTTGATGTCAGTGTATTTATATAATCATATAAACTCATATATACGTTTTTCAACCAGTGGGCCGGGGAACGTTATTGTGCCTTGAGAGGTTAGTCAGTGAGCCTTGGGAAACGATAATAATGTGAAAAATAAAAAGAATTAGAAGATTAGAAATACTTCGGATTTTCTATATGATACACTTTGATGAGAATGACTTTGTTTTGTTAATAAAGGCAGCAGAGTAACATTAGTTTGTCAGTTTCAGCCGGTGGTGGGCCATGAGATAGTTTTAAATGAAAAGGTGTTCCACGGCTCAAAAAGGTTGGGGAACACTGCTCTAATCACATAGTTTTTTGGACTTTTTACTCATGCAGGCTGAAGATTCTTAAGATCTGAAGAACCTTGTTATTAATATTTTTGGAAAGTGGAAAAATCATGATCTACTGGCAGGTCTATTTTATGTTTTATTTTCTTGCAGTGTTGTCTCAGTGGAGATTGGAAAGATCTGACACATAGAACTGAATAAATGTGAGACACAAAGTTACACAGTGCAATGTAAACAAACTTTGATTGTCTGTACGTACTTCTACTACCACTACTGTTATTATTTCTGGTGCTGTCGTCTCTATCCCCACCCGACACACACACACACACTCTCTCCTCTTACGTCCTACTTTCTGACCCGTTTCTGTCTCCTCTTGAAAACTCTGTTGGAACTGGAGCACTGAATGTGTGTTTCATGTTTGGATGTGCACTGTGGGCAGTTTTGTTGTGCGCTCAGGCCAAGTCACGGGTCAGATCTGTGGAGGGAGCACAGAATTGAGCATATGCCATATCAGAATCAGAATTCTTTTATTGCCATGTGAGTAACAAGTAACAAACTACAAAATTGCTTTGGCTCTCGGTGCAAATAAGTTAAAGTAGAGAATAGAATGAGGCATGCATACATTAATCTATATAAAAATCTACAGACATTTCTTCACTCAAAAACATACAGTTAGTTAGTCTTATATGCAATTTGCGGCCTTAGCCTGGCTCCACATTGGACCAAACGTGCACTGGCTTGAGATGCGTTTACATGTGTCTCTCTGTAATCCAAATTGAATCCCAGTTTGAGCCTAAATATAGACTTACAGTAGCTAGGCCCCAGTCTTGCCTCAGTTTTTTCCTCAGATGCGACAGACTCCAGGTGCGCTCCCACTTGATCCAAAAAGTTGCGTTCTTGTGACATCACAGCATTCCAAAGAGCCTATAGTTTAACATTGTGGTGGAGGGCAGTTGAAAAATGGTTCCTGGTAACTATGGTAAGTGCGAAAAGTCAGCTGTTCTTAATTTAGAGCTAATTTCTCTGTAATCCCGGAGACAATCAACATGAGATCTTTTTGTCGGCAAGTGGTGCTCGACGTGGTTAACTCTGCCGCCCGGATCACATACTGTCTGATTGGTAAAATGGTGGAGGACAGGGCATCGAAATGAATCAATAACAAGATTTAGGGGCTGTAAAACTCATTTTCAAATTCAAATATCTCTGAACTATTGTTTTTAGTTAAAGAAGCATTGAAAAAGAGCATGTTTTATTAATGCCTTTTGACAGATTAGGGCCCTTTAATGATGACTTAACATGAACATTTTACATATTGCTACTTAACCCTTGTATTATGTTAAGGGTCAATTTGACCCATTTCAGTTTTTGTGTTGATCAAAGTACTGGTTATCCTTTCTTTTTCTCCTGAAATTTGGTGACTTTTCCTCATCTAGGGTCATGAACTGGTGTGTAAAATCTGGACACTTTGATGTGTAGTCGAATGTCTGTATACAAAGATGATGTTGCGGGTCATTTTGACCCAGACGCTTTAATGTGGGTAAACAGATCCAAAAAAACATGTCTCATTGACATTGTACTTTGATTGCCTCTGAGACCCAGAGCCAGGTGTGTGAAGAGAGGGAACTTTCTCACACTTGTCCTTGTCACTGTTCTCATGTCATCTCTTTTGCCTAGCGTACATCGGACTGGCAACTGAATATATCCGTCGCCTTTGAGTTGCTGCCCCGCACACATCGACAATCTGATGAAAACGGGCAACTCCTAGTATCAGGCCAGTCTTGGGAATAACAGCGCGTACATCGACAGCAACTGGCCTCAACTACAGTGTGTTTTCTGACATAAACTGTAGAGGGCGCAATACACACATGCTGTTGGAGCGCGCACATCGGGTGATATCTCCGGATCTGAGGACAACTAGTTGCCAAAAAGTGGAATACGGGCAACTGACTGAATCCGGAGATCGACTGTTTATCTCCAGTTGTAAGAGCGCGCACATCGACCGATTTCGGCAACTGATCATCTCCATCATCTACTCTCAGTTGCCAAAAGCCGCCTTCAACTAGTCTCCAGTTACTCTGTCGATGTGCGCTAGGCTTTATACAAACTCACCAAAAATTAGCTCCAGAAGGATGACGACATCTGAGGAGGCTTTATCACAGATTTTTTACTGGGATAATGATGTAGAGGAAGAGATTTCAAAAACAGAGGATTTTTCAGAGACAGAGGACAATGTTATTGCTGATCCAGATTGTCAATTTTCCTACGATAAGGAGGATTCAGAGGACGAATCTTTGGTCAAGGAAAGAGGAAGGGAGGACGGACGGAAGGTACAGTAGGAAGGAAAGAAGGGAGAAAGGAAGGAAGGAAGGAAGAGAAAAGAAGGGAATAGAGGAGGATGAACAGAGAGAAGGAAAACAGGATGAGAAGAAGGAAAGAGAAAGCATGGCAGGAGGAAAGAAGAAGGGAAGAATTGTCATTTTGACCCGAGAGGAGGACAAGAAGATTAGACTAAAAATTTCTTAAATATAGCGTCGGAATTAAAAATGTATTGTATGTCACTTTTTAAAATATTTATATAACCTAAAATAAAGTTGTTATTGGTTTAACCTGTTTTCTTGACTGTTTTGAGTGCATTTACACAGTACGGGTCAAAATGACCCGCAACATAATCAATGTCATTTTTTTTCAACATAATACAAGGGTTAAAATCATCTGCAATAACTGCTGTTGTGATTTAGGGCAAAATACAAAAATAAGTAAAATTGAACAGAATTGAAGTGAAGTCTTAGCTCGGTCCTGTTCGGTTCTAGCCTGGTCGCACCACACCATAGTACAAATTACGTTTCAGTCAAATGATGATTGAGCTATGGCCAGGCTAGTTCGGTTCGGTCTTCTCAGCCTTCTGTATGTTTGGGCTTTGTGTTTTCAGTCACCCCAACAGAACCAGAGCCTGACCTCCTCCACCTCGAGCCTCTGTCATTACTGCCTGTGTGTTGTAATTTTCAGCTAATGTTGCTTCCCGGGGATTTCCCTCAGAGCTAATGTCCACTTAACTCCTTCCTTTCTTTAAATCTTTGCTTCCTCTGCTTCTCCCGCTCACCCGGCCCTGCTCTGTGTCTGTCCCGTAGGTGGTGAGTATAATCAAACCAAACTCACACACTCTCTTTGAAAGATAGACTGCTTTTGTTTGTTTTTTCTCTCACTTTATCTTGTGCCTTTTTTTAAGCTTTTTTTTTTTGTGGCTAATACACATTTTTGCATGAACTCTTGTTTGTGGTTTTGTAAGTATGTAAATCGTCTGGTCCACATTGTGTTAAGGTTAGATATTTTTGACATATAGATACATATATGTTTAAGAAGAGAAGAAAGTGACAGTATCTTTGAACTTTTGTTATTGGGACTGATTCTTTATGGAGTGGGCCCCAAGAAGACTAGTGACCACTTGTCAGCTGATGATTATCCAAATAGATAAAAATTAAAAAAAAAAAAATACTGTACCTCCTTCCTTCACTCGTTAACTGTATTCTAATATATGCTGACGATTGTTTTTGACAGTGTTCCAAATTTTGATAAATGCTGTTAATGTAGCTGTGCTGAGATAATAACATTCTGTGAAATGTGAATCTATCTGGACTTTTTTATTTACATTTTTAAGCACAGAACCGAATTTGCCCAAAACTGTCTTGTAAACTAAAGTGACCGTCTTACTAAAAAGTTTGAACACCCCTGGCATAGCACAAAGACAGACCCCATACCATTTGCTCTGCCATAATGGACATTTATTATATTATTTCCCTGTACGCTCTAAATGTACCTACTCCTTTTGGAATTGTGTATATTTATGTGTTTGTGTTTCTTCTTTTTTATTTTATTGCACAATTCATTCGAAATATAGACTAAATGTGTTGTAGAATATACACAGCCTATATCTGTCACTGTATGGACTAAGTTGCTAAATGCAGCAGTTGTTACTTAAAGAATTGAGCAAAAAAAAGCATAAATTGAGCAGTATATTTCTAGAACTTTCTGCGGTGATCATGTGACGTCTAAACTTGGTACCGTCACCTTTAAAACTCCACAGAAATCTAGTGCATTTCTGTTCCAAACGTGCCATTTCTAGTGCTATCTCTGGCATTGATTTAACTGCAGCACAAGCAGCTGTGTCACATCGCCCCCTGGTGGACACTCTTCAATGAACCGGATGACCCTGGCTTTGAGGAGGCTAGAAACAGAACTGGATGTGGCAAATGTGTTTTAAACGTATGTGAAATAACAATACCGTCTGTGTCCGTGTCTGGGTTTGCAGAATATCGGTAAGAAGATGTCGTGTCAGCAGTTTATCGGTAATCTGGAAGGGCTCAACCACGGCCAGGACTTCCCCAAAGAGTTATTAAAGGTACACTGCAACTGGAACAGCACTTTATCAACACCGCATCACACAGAGATCAGTATTTGACTTGCTGTTCGTCCCAAAATACAACTGAAATGGCTTCTTAATTAAAACAGCAGATCACAAGGCAAGCGTCGTGTTTCATTCGTGCCAAAATGCCTGAGTGATGCCGCTGATTTGTTCATTTATCCCATAATGAGAGAAATGGCGTCTTGCATGAATAAAAAAAACTACATTTAAACATGCTTGAACCATGTAAATGAGGAGTGAAATAAAAGTTTAAAGTTAATTCTGTATCTGTTTTGATTAAAGCTGGGGTACCTAACTTTCACAACACATCACACTGTCACTGTCTGTTTTATATTGGACTTGGAGTCTGTGCCAAAGTTATTTCTCTGTCTGTGCAGCACTTTGGGAAGCATAGGCTGTTTTAAATGTGCTCTGACAGAATTTTTACAAGACTCATTCTGGTGGAACACACATAATTGATTATTTATTACTTTAAAAGGTAGCTCATGTTTTGTTTTGTTCTTCTTCCAAACAGATCTTGTATAATTCGATAAAGAATGAAAAGCTGGAGTGGGCCGTGTGAGTATGACAAATTCACTCAAGTTCATTTTTTCAGCACAGAACTATAGTCCAGGTGATTTCTATGCAGCGGCCTGGATCCCACATTTTTTTTTATTAACTATTTTTTTCTCATCTTCTTTTTCTTATAAAATATTTGGGCTCCGCACTGTGTCTGTTTCCCATTACTTTTTTGCCCAAATGTTGATACTTTGTGAAGAATATAGAGTACATCTGTGAAATGTTAGGGCTGTATGTGACCCCAACTGGACTATGAGGAGCACCGGGACTGACCTCCTGCTGCGACTCTGAGGAGCACAGGGACTGGCCTCAAGCTGGGACTCTGAGGAGCACAGGGACTGGCCTCCTGCTGCGACTCTGAGGAGCACAGGGACTGGCCTCCTGCTGCGACTCTGAGGAGCACAGGGACTGACCTCCTGCTGCGACTCTGAGGAGCACAGGGACTGGCCTCCTGCTGCGACTCTGAGGAGCACAGGGACTGGCCTCCTGCTGCGACTCTGAGGAGCACAGGGACTGGCCTCCTGCTGGGACTCTGAGGAGCACAGGGACTGACCTCCTGCTGGGACTCTGAGGAGCACAGGGACTGGCCTCTTGCTGGTCCCAGAGTCAGGACTAAACCTATAACAGTTGTGTGTAGCTGTGCATACAACTGAAGGATTGTATCGTCTTTTTAATGTACTCATGATTGTGTGTGTGTGTGTGTGTGCGTGTGTGTGTGGGTGTGTTGTGCAGAGAGGAGGAGGAGCTGCGGAAGAGCCTGTCGGAGCTGGTGGAGGAGCACTGCGAGGGCGGCAGTAAACGCGTGGCTCGCATCTCCGACGGATGTAACCCGTTCATCGGAATCCCCATCCTCCTCAACGCCGTCACCTACAAACACGGCGTCCTGACCCGGAAGAGCCACGCCGACATGGACGGCAAGCGCAGTGGGTCACATCACTTTCACCCAAGTCCTCAAAAAACAGATCTGTGTTTGTCTATATTCATTAAAAGCAAATTATTCAAATTCTAAAGTAGCACCGAAGTGTCCAATTTGGGAGAAGTTTGAGATGGGAATTCTTTCTGTCCAAGTTTTACAGTTTTTGATGTCCCTGAGATCTTCATAAAGCCAAAGTCCAGTTCATAATCAGGAAGTGTTTTTCATAATAGTTTTTAGAAAAGTCTGACCAACGTTTTCATAAAGTTTCAGTGAGTTTTGAACCGTTCGTTTGTGATGTCATGCAGGGAAGAATGGAAAAGTGTCTCTAATGACTTTAAAGGAAGAAGCTGCTTGTAAATAATAGAAATGACTATTTATTTTGTGTTAATTATTACTGATTGTTTAGTCATTGTTTTATTACAATCCTCAGAGATGAATAACTAAAGTGACTCCTTCTTGTATTGATAAGAAGTGACACCGTTTCTGTTTCTTGTGCAGCCCCCAGAGGTCGTCGTGGATGGAAGAAGTTCTACGCTGTTCTTAAAGGGATGATCCTCTATCTGCAGAAGGTACTGACCACTGACTGACCACAGACAGACCACAGACTGACCACAGACTGACCACAGACAGACCACTGACTGACCACAGACAGATCACAGACTGACCACAGACAGACCACAGACTGACCACAGACTGACCACAGACTGACCACAGACTGACCACTGACTGACCACTGACTGACCACAGACTGACCACAGACAGACCACAGAAAGACCACAGACAGATCACAGACTGACCACAGACAGACCACAGACTGACCACAGACTGACCACAGACTGACCACAGACTGACCACTGACTGACCACTGACTGACCACAGACTGACCACAGACAGACCACAGAAAGACCACAGACAGATCACAGACTGACCACAGACAGACCACAGACTGACCACAGACTGACCACAGACTGACCACAGACTGACCACAGACAGACCACAGAAAGACCACAGACTGACCACAGACTGACCACAGACTGACCACTGACTGACCACAGACTGACCACTGACTGACCACAGACAGACCACAGAAAGACCACTGACTGACCACTGACTGACCACAGACAGACCACAGACTGACCACAGACTGACCACAGACTGACCACTGACTGACCACAGACTGACCACAGACTGACCACAGACTGACCACAGACTGACCACTGACTGACCACAGACAGACCACAGAAAGACCACTGACTGACCACAGACTGACCACAGAAAGACCACAGACTGACCACTGACTGACCACAGACAGATCACAGACTGACCACAGACAGACCACTGACTGACCACAGAAAGACCACAGACTGACCACAGACTGACCACAGACAGACCACAGACTGACCACAGAAAGACCACAGACTGACCACTGACTGACCACAGACTGACCACAGACAGACCACAGAAAGACCACAGACTGACCACAGACTGACCACAGACTGACCACAGACAGACCACAGAAAGACCACAGACTGACCACAGACTGACCACAGACTGACCACAGACAGACCACAGAAAGACCACAGACTGACCACAGACTGACCACAGACTGACCACAGACAGACCACAGACTGACCACAGACTGACCACAGACAGACCACAGACTGACCACAGACTGACCACAGACAGACCACAGAAAGACCACAGACTGACCACAGACTGACCACAGACTGACCACAGACTGACCACAGACTGACCACTGACTGACCACAGACTGACCACAGACTGACCACAGACTGACCACAGACAGACCACAGACTGACCACAGACAGACCACAGACTGACCACAGACAGATCACAGACTGACCACAGACTGACCACTGACTGACCACAGACTGACCACAGACTGACCACAGACTGACCACTGACTGACCACAGACTGACCACAGACTTTACTGCAGGAACACTGTGGAGACAGCAGGGGGCGCCTACTGCAGCTCAACAGACACTTCTCTGAAAGGTTATGTGCAGCCCTCTGCTGGTCAAAAGAGGCACTGACGTCAAAAGAAAATCTTTGGGAGTGAAAAGAATTTGAATATCAAATCAAATCAAATGTATTTATAAATCACAATTCCTACAGTGAATCATAAGCCAAACAAAATACATGTCAATAATAAGTAAAATATTAAGACCATTTCATGATGTATTGTTATAAATAGTAAAGTTGAAATGAAAACATGTATTATTTGTCAAATCTAATCCAACGATTTAAAACACATTGTTTTCGTAGATTCAGGTTTAAAGCTAAAATAAATCTGTTTGCTATTTAATAATCATTGCTACAGAGTACAGACTGCACGATGAGACACTTAGACCTGGCTCAGGTTTAGTTTGGTTCACAGCTGTATCGACACGAGGTGCATGAACATGTGGATGTGGTTTGTCTCAGACTCAGACAGAAATACAGCTCGACGTTCACAGAGAAATTAACAGATGGTGATGATCCCAGAGTGTGAGCGACTGCAGACTCTCATGTGTCCGCTGAGCAGGACGTGGTCTTCCAGTCTGCACCTTCACTATAGTTCCTCTTCTCTCCAGGACGAGTACAAACCGGACGCTGACATTTCCGAGGTGGACTTGAAGAACGCCGTGCGGATCCATCACGCTTTGGCGACTCCAGCCTCAGACTACAGCAAGAAACCCAACGTCCTGAAACTCAAGACCTCGGACTGGAGAGTGTTCCTGCTGCAGGCGCCGTGCGTACAACCTTTAAAACTCACATGTTTTAACAGACATGCTTTGAATGACGTGGACGTTGTCATGGTAACAGAATGACTCCTTTCTCTCAGGAGCGAGGAGGAGATGATGTCGTGGATATTCAGGATAAACCTGGTGGGGGCGCTGTTCTCTGCTCCTGCGTTTCCTGCAGCGATCGGATCCATGAAGAAATTCTGTCGACCAATCCTGCCCTCGTCCTCCACACGACTCACACAGGTGCTACACAACACTACACAACACAACACACACGACTCACACAGGTGCTACACAACACTACACAACACAACACACACGACTCACACAGGTGCTACACAACACTACACAACACAACACACACAACTCACACAGGTGCTACACAACACTACACAACACAACACACACGACTCACACAGGTGCTACACAACACAACACACATGACTCACACAGGTGCTACACAACACTACACAACACAACTCACACAGGTGCTACACAACACAACACACATGACTCACACAGGTGCTACACAACACTACACAACACAACACACACGACTCACACAGGTGCTACACAACACTTCACAACACAACTCACACAGGTGCTACACAACACAACACAACTCACACAGGTGCTACACAACACTACACAACACAACACACACGACTCACACAGGTGCTACACAACACAACACACATGACTCACACAGGTGCTACACAACACTACACAACACAACTCACACAGGTGCTACACAACACAACACACATGACTCACACAGGTGCTACACAACACTACACAACACAACACACATGACTCACACAGGTGCTACACAACACTACACAACACAACTCACACAGGTGCTACACAACACAACACACATGACTCACACAGGTGCTACACAACACTACACAACACAACACACACGACTCACACAGGTGCTACACAACACTACACAACACAACACACACAACTCACACAGGTGCTACACAACACTACACAACACAACACACACGACTCACACAGGTGCTACACAACACAACACACATGACTCACACAGGTGCTACACAACACTACACAACACAACTCACACAGGTGCTACACAACACAACACACATGACTCACACAGGTGCTACACAACACTACACAACACAACACACACGACTCACACAGGTGCTACACAACACTTCACAACACAACTCACACAGGTGCTACACAACACTACACAACACAACACAACTCACACAGGTGCTACACAACACTACACAACACAACACACACGACTCACACAGGTGCTACACAACACAACACACATGACTCACACAGGTGCTACACAACACTACACAACACAACTCACACAGGTGCTACACAACACAACACACATGACTCACACAGGTGCTACACAACACTACACAACACAACACACATGACTCACACAGGTGCTACACAACACTACACAACACAACACACATGACTCACACAGGTGCTACACAACACTACACAACACAACTCACACAGGTGCTACACAACACAACACACATGACTCACACAGGTGCTACACAACACTACACAACACACACGACTCACACAGGTGCTACATAACACTACACAACACAACACACATGACTCACACAGGTGCTACACAACACTACACAACACAACACACACGACTCACACAGGTGCTACACAACACTACACAACACAACACACATGACTCGCACAGGTGCTACACAACACAACACACATGACTCACACAGGTGCTACACAACACAACACACACGACTCACACAGGTGCTACACAACACTACCCAACACAACACACACGACTCACACAGGTGCTACACAACACTACACAACACAACACACACAACTCACACAGGTGCTACACAACACAACACACATGACTCACACAGGTACAACACAACACAACACACACGAGTCACACAGGTACAACACAACACTACACAACACAACACACACAACTCACACAGGTGCTACACAACACAACACACATGACTCACACAGGTACAACACAACACAACACACACGAGTCACACAGGTACAACACAACGCTACACACAACACAACACACATGACTCACACAGGTACAACACAACACAACACACACGATTCACACAGGTACAACACAACGCTACACAACACAACACACACGACTCACACAGGTGCTACACAACACTACACAACACAACACACATGACTCACACAGGTGCTACACAACACTACACAACACAACACACACGACTCACACAGGTGCTACACAACACTACACAACACAACACACATGACTCACACAGGTGCTACACAACACAACACACATGACTCACACAGGTGCTACACAACACACACGACTCACACAGGTGCTACACAACACTACACAACACAACACACACGACTCACACAGGTGCTACACAACACTACACAACACAACACACACAACTCACACAGGTGCTACACAACACTACACAACACACACGACTCACACAGGTGCTACACAACACAACACACATGACTCACACAGGTGCTACACAACACTACACAACACAACTCACACAGGTGCTACACAACACAACACACATGACTCACACAGGTGCTACACAACACTACACAACACAACACACACGACTCACACAGGTGCTACACAACACTACACAACACAACTCACACAGGTGCTACACAACACTACACAACACAACACACACAACTCACACAGGTGCTACACAACACTACACAACACAACACACACGACTCACACAGGTGCTACACAACACACATGACTCACACAGGTGCTACACAACACTACACAACACAACACACATGACTCACACAGGTGCTACACAACACTACACAACACACCACACACGACTCACACAGGTGCTACACAACACTACACAACACAACTCACACAGGTGCTACACAACACTACACAACACAACACACATGACTCACACAGGTGCTACACAACACTACACAACACAACACACACGACTCACACAGGTGCTACACAACACTACACAACACAACACACATGACTCGCACAGGTGCTACACAACACAACACACATGACTCACACAGGTGCTACACAACACAACACACACGACTCACACAGGTGCTACACAACACTACCCAACACAACACACACGACTCACACAGGTGCTACACAACACTACACAACACAACACACACAACTCACACAGGTGCTACACAACACAACACACATGACTCACACAGGTACAACACAACACAACACACACGAGTCACACAGGTACAACACAACACTACACAACACAACACACATGACTCACACAGGTACAACACAACACAACACACACGAGTCACACAGGTACAACACAACGCTACACACAACACAACACACATGACTCACACAGGTACAACACAACACAACACACACGACTCACACAAGTGCTACACAACACTACACAACACACATGACTCACACAGGTGCTACACAACACTACACAACACACACGACTCACACAGGTGCTACACAACACTACACAACACAACACACACGACTCACACAGGTGCTACACAACACTACACAACACAACACACATGACTCGCACAGGTGCTACACAACACAACACACATGACTCACACAGGTGCTACACAACACAACACACACGACTCACACAGGTACTACACAACACTACCCAACACAACACACACGACTCACACAGGTGCTACACAACACTACACAACACAACACACACAACTCACACAGGTGCTACACAACACAACACACATGACTCACACAGGTACAACACAACACAACACACACGAGTCACACAGGTACAACACAACACTACACAACACACACAACTCACACAGGTGCTACACAACACAACACACATGACTCACACAGGTACAACACAACACAACACACACGAGTCACACAGGTACAACACAACGCTACACACAACACAACACACATGACTCACACAGGTACAACACAACACAACACACACGATTCACACAGGTACAACACAACGCTACACAACACAACACACACGACTCACACAGGTGCTACACAACACTACACAACACAACACACATGACTCACACAGGTGCTACACAACACTACACAACACAACACACACGACTCACACAGGTGCTACACAACACTACACAACACAACACACATGACTCACACAGGTGCTACACAACACAACACACATGACTCACACAGGTGCTACACAACACACACGACTCACACAGGTGCTACACAACACTACACAACACAACACACACGACTCACACAGGTGCTACACAACACTACACAACACAACACACACAACTCACACAGGTGCTACACAACACTACACAACACACACGACTCACACAGGTGCTACACAACACAACACACATGACTCACACAGGTGCTACACAACACTACACAACACAACTCACACAGGTGCTACACAACACAACACACATGACTCACACAGGTGCTACACAACACTACACAACACAACACACACGACTCACACAGGTGCTACACAACACTACACAACACAACTCACACAGGTGCTACACAACACTACACAACACAACACACACAACTCACACAGGTGCTACACAACACTACACAACACAACACACACGACTCACACAGGTGCTACACAACACAACACACATGACTCACACAGGTGCTACACAACACTACACAACACAACACACATGACTCACACAGGTGCTACACAACACTACACAACACACCACACACGACTCACACAGGTGCTACACAACACTACACAACACAACTCACACAGGTGCTACACAACACTACACAACACAACACACATGACTCACACAGGTGCTACACAACACTACACAACACAACACACACGACTCACACAGGTGCTACACAACACTACACAACACAACACACATGACTCGCACAGGTGCTACACAACACAACACACATGACTCACACAGGTGCTACACAACACAACACACACGACTCACACAGGTGCTACACAACACTACCCAACACAACACACACGACTCACACAGGTGCTACACAACACTACACAACACAACACACACAACTCACACAGGTGCTACACAACACAACACACATGACTCACACAGGTACAACACAACACAACACACACGAGTCACACAGGTACAACACAACACTACACAACACAACACACATGACTCACACAGGTACAACACAACACAACACACACGAGTCACACAGGTACAACACAACGCTACACACAACACAACACACATGACTCACACAGGTACAACACAACACAACACACACGACTCACACAAGTGCTACACAACACTACACAACACACATGACTCACACAGGTGCTACACAACACTACACAACACACACGACTCACACAGGTGCTACACAACACTACACAACACAACACACATGACTCACACAGGTGCTACACAACACAACACACATGACTCACACAGGTGCTACACAACACAACACACACGACTCACACAGGTGCTACACAACACTACCCAACACAACACACATGACTCACACAGGTGCTACACAACACTACACAACACAACACACACGACTCACACAGGTGCTACACAACACTACACAACACACACAACTCACACAGGTGCTACACAACACAACACACATGACTCACACAGGTACAACACAACACAACACACACGAGTCACACAGGTACAACACAACACTACACAACACAACACACACAACTCACACAGGTGCTACACAACACAACACACATGACTCACACAGGTACAACACAACACAACACACACGAGTCACACAGGTACAACACAACGCTACACACAACACAACACACATGACTCACACAGGTACAACACAACACACACGATTCACACAGGTACAACACAACGCTACACAACACAACACACATGACTCACACAGGTACAACACAACACAACACACGACTTACACAGGTGCTACACAACACACACGACTCACACAGGTACAACACAACACAACACACACGATTCACACAGGTACAACACAACGCTACACAACACAACACACATGACTCACACAGGTACAACACAACACAACACACGACTTACACAGGTGCTACACAACACACACGACTCATACAGGTGCAACACAACACTATCAATCAAACTCAATCAATCAAACTTTATTTATAAAGCGCTTTTCATACAATAAAATGCAACACAAAGTGCTTTACAGCTGAGTCAAAATCAATACAACATGCCCGATAAACCCCAGACCCACCCATAAACCACCCTAATTATTATACAGTATATACTACATCGAGATGCATATACCCGTACACACACACACACACACACACACACACACACAGAGACATATAAAATCACAACAGACAGATAAAATAGGTAAAACTATGAAAAGATATAGGGCTGGGTGCGGATGCATCCAGCTGAAGAAGCGCCATCCAGGGAGCCATCTGCACCAGGAGCAGAGAGCCGCTTGCAGCCACAGGGGACGACACAGGACCCAGAGGAGAGAGGAGGCCCCAGACCTCCCACCAGGCCCCCATAGGACCTGGAGGAGAGAGGAGGCCCCAGGCCCCCACTAGATCCAAAAGCCGGACCCCCGCAGCCACAGCAGACCGCCGCTCCCAGTGCAGAGGGCTCCTCCAGAGGAAACACTGGGAATACTAAAACCATACAATAAAGAGTAAAACAGCTACCTAATATTAAGTGACAAAACAGAATTCATAAAATTAAATAAATAAATAAGAACCAAAATAAGATCTGTCTAAAACACAATAAATACTAATAAAAAGTTAATCTAAAAAGGTGTGTCTTGAGCCTACTTTTAAAAATATGAACGTTCTCTGCGGCCCTGAGCTCCTCCTCAGACTGTTCCAGAGACGGGGGCCGTAGTGCTGGAAAGATGCCTCGCCGTGAGTGTGTGTCCTGACTTTGGGGATGGTTAGGAGTCTGCTGCCGGAGGAGCGCAGGGGCCGGGAAGGCTCATAGGATAAAAGCAAATCTGAAAGATAAGAAGGCCCAAGACCATTAAGACCATTTAGGTGCAACACAACACTACACAACACACACTACTCACACAGGTACAACACAACGCTACACAACACACACTCCCACAGGTGCTACACAACACAACGCACATTAGTGCAGCACAACACCACACAAACACCACACAAACAGGTCCAACAGTTCAGTGTGAGTGAATCTGCAGTGAGACAGACGCAGATAAAGGCTACACTTCTCTTCTAACATTTAGTTCAAAACATCACATTGTTTTAGTGTGAACATTTACAAGATACAGGACAAGAATTTTATTTTCCATTTGCAGTAAAACCACATTGGAAAAACTGTGCAAGATTAACCCCAGTGTGTACCAGGCAGAGAGGACAGCACACACCAGAGCTCAGTCTCACATCATCCCACAGTTTTTAATGCACACCTTCATTTGGCAAAACAAAATCATTAATGGAACAACATTTCATTTATGTCTTTGTGTTTGTGTGTCTGAGCTCTGCAGTCTCCCTTCTCCTGCACTAACGGACACAGTTCATAGATTTCACCTTAAAAGTGTTTAAAAACTTTATTACTTTTGCCAATTATTCATCACAGTGAGTTCTTAAGAGCTTTTCAGGAGCCAGTAAAGCTAACAACAACTAGCCTGCTAAAAACTCTGCATTTTTATACAGAAGATTTTTGTCAGATTTCTCTTCTCAGTCCCTTGATCTCTGCTTTGCTTTCTCTTGATCGTCCCTGGTCTGTGATTGGTGCAGGAGGACCAGCTGAAAAGTCACGAAACCAAACTGAAGCAGATGAGTTTGGAGCTGGAGGAGCATCGCAAGAACCCCCCGAGCGCGGACCCCAAGAGCCGGGACTGGGAGGAGCACCGCCTGAAGGAGCACTACCTCACCTACGAGGTACTCACACAGGCTCACAGCAGACAGCCGGCCCGGGCTTCTGTCTCAGCCTCAGATATGGAGAGAAAAACATCCCAGTATTGCAGAAATGTGAGCCGACAGGAAAATCGTTTTGGGTTCCAGAAATATCCAGTTACCTCCTGAGCACGGTTACAATAGAAACAAAAATTCTCACAGCTTTTTGAAATTCAGTTACAGTAATGCAGTATTGTTGCTTTTCATGTGGTTACTCTGCTCTGAACTGAAACGTAAAACATAAATTAAGTCAGAAATTGCTTGAATTTAGCAAAATGTATCTAAATGTAGCCAAAAACAAGATTTGCCAGTGGGACGAGCAAAATGATGCTTGTTTTTAAAAGATCAAAGAAATGTCTCGCTTGGAAAAAGACTAAATGGCTTTGTCTCTCCTGCAAATCTTGTTTTAAGACAGTCAGAATGAACTTAAATTAAGATTTATTTATTTTTTACCTCGATTCAAGCTATTATTACCTCATATTTTATTGTTTTTTACAGTGTAAGAAAAAGCTCCAGTGAGTGATATGGTCCTCTCTTTTTCCACTTTTCTGTCTGATGTCTGATCTGTCTGTCTGGCCTAGAAATACATACATGTGGAAACTAGTGATTGGTTTGTGAGAGCGAGGGACTCTAGTTACATCTTTTTAACTATTTACATTTTACATTAAATTTACGTTACAGTTTTATCACATGCAGTAGTTGTTGTTTTTGTCATATGAAAGTCAGCCATCTTTTTTCTCTAAGTTTGTTTATTAGGAATGCAAATTGTGTTCACATTACAGCTCCATTCAGATGTTTTTTTTTTTTTAAACAAGAACGAAGTCAGTCATCTTTTAACCCCTTTTTGTTTATTATATACTTTTGATATGTTTTTGTTTTGTTTGTTGTACTGTATTTGAATCTGTAGCACTTTGAGGTTTCCTATAAATGTAGGATTATGATTATTTTTAATCACTTTTGACCACACTCTCTCCTTCCACAGAAAAGCCGTTACGAGACCTACATCAGCCTCCTGCAGGCCAAGCTCCACGCCGAGACCGACGACTTGGAGAAGATCGAGGCCGGGATCATGGGCAGTTTCCTGTTTGAAGGTCGGGAATGCCAGCTCCGAAAAACTCAATCTTCCCCTTCCATTAGCCAAGCTCAGGGCGGGCAGAACGGGAAGCCCCCCACGTACCCTACTGCCCCGGGACACAGGAGCTGAGACCCCAAGACTCTCCTCTCACCCTTCTTTGTACGCTGAGAAACTGTTTTAGCTCTATTACTGCATAGTAGGAGTATCGTATTCCCCCCTGGACTTCTTAGTACAATAACATGTCCTTAGATGTTATTATACCTGCTGGCGGAGGACTAGACACCCCGTTTTAGTGATTTTTGTATTGCACATTTTGAAATGGTCCAAATCGTGGTCATTTTTGTAACAGTATTATTTTAACTTAGTGTTTTAAAAGATAGTAATTTATTAAAAATACGTCGGGGAACGAGTGCGAGAAGGAGAGGGCGATGTGGCGATGGTACTACTGTAGCATTTTTTGTTTTCTCACGTGGCGTTCGCTTCCCGTCGGAGAGACTGGCCCGGGTCACGTGACGAAATGGACCTATGTACGAGGAGCGAGAAGACTGAAGGAAGAGGCGGGTTTATTTATTTATTTAATGACTTACACGGGAATCGTACGTTGGCGTGGGGCGTCGCTGAGCCGAGGAGCCGCAGGTGGAGTGCCTTGCCCGAGAGCGCCTCAGCACCAGAGGTTGAGGAGATATATCACCCCAAAATGGACATGATTTATTTGAACAGGTTTAGAAGTTTAGTGTGAATGACGGACAGCACTGTGTTTGCGAACCTCCCCGATCAAACTGGTGCAGACTGAAGTTTCATTTAAAGCTGGGGTATCTAACTTTCAAGCCACAATCATAATAATAATACATGTTATTTATACTGCGCCTTACATTTCCAGGGAACCTCAAAGTGCTACAGATACAAAAAAACAAAGAAGATAACGTCAGAAGTACATCAAATATCACAACTTTTAGATCAGCTTTTTCAGACAGAAAAGTGAAAAAGAGAGGACCGCCCTCACTCGGCCAAGAAGCTCTGAGCCCCAAGTGTCAAATAGTGACTCACAGGGCTCTTTTCTCACATGTATTTATTTAAAAACAGCAAATAGGGATTCAATTTACTTACCACATTTTACTTTTACAAACTAATGTATTTTTTATGAAGGGGGAAAAGTTACGTACCCTAGCTTTAACGCACTATATGTACTGATTGTTACTTATTTTTAGGCTTTGAGTGGAATTGAAGGTTGCAGGTCCTGAAAATACGAAGCCAAATAAGTGATTGTGAATTAGTCTATGGACTTCTTGCATGTAGTCGTGTCTCAGTTTTCAGTATGGATTTATCACTGTAGTATCAGAGGAAACAGAGGATTAAGGCTCAAACTCATCTGCTCTTGTTTATGATAAAATAATAATAATAATAATAATACATCTTTAGTCCAGATTCAAGGACCATATAAAAGGCAATCAGTAGCCATTCCAAGTACGCCAAGGATCCCCGCACCCCTGGTTGGGAAACACTGCTTTAGTGTTAGACAGAGTTTAGTTTTAGTGCTAGATTTGAGATTCCAGTTTCAGAAAAATTCCCTCAGCGTTGTTTTTGTTTTACTTTCTCACACGTGCATAGCTTCAACACTGGATTATTCCCCTTCTGTAGGACTCAAATATTATCCAATGATCTGTTATTTTCCTTTACTAGTTTTGTGATATAATACAGTTTATGACTCTCGAACCGTCTCTATGGCAGCTTGACAACTTTAGCATTAGCCGCTCTAGTTTTGGCTTCGTGAAAATATTGCGTCATCCATCAGAAAGAACATCAAGGCCTGTGCCATTTGCAAGTATAACATATGAAGAAATGAGCTGTTTTAAAAACCTGAACAAGATATTTATCGTAAAATCCGAGTCAAAGTATTTTCTCGGGGTTTCAGTAGCACTACATAAACTGTTAGTCACTATTTCTGTCATAGTTAAGATTTTAAACGTGAGAAATGAACCGAATCTATCCATTTCTGCACCAGTTTGTCAGAGGAGTCCACTCTGTGCTGAAACTTCGAAAGAGGAAAAGAATTAGCCGTAGCATCTGGAGCCGTTTATTTATCAGGGTCTGGTTTGTATTTATTTATAACTTTAAAAATGTCAATAACACTCGCCAAGCCCCAAAACTACCACTATCTGTCCTTATAGTTTGGACTCTAACGACAGTAGGTCTATGCAGAAGTCGTATTTGTTCATCTCTACACGGTGCAATAAATGGTTACTATGGAAACGATAATGGGTTTCTTTACTTCAAACTGTTGGTCCTGTTTGTGTGAGGTTTTGATTTGTTTAGTTTTTAAGATCTACATTTTATTTGCTTCGCCAAGATCAATTCCATGTCCAGCACTTTGAAACTATAGCTTTTAAAGGTATATAGGGGGATTTTCTACTTCCGGATTGACCATCAAGACTATTGGTCCTCCCAACTGTCAATCATTCTGGTGATACGTGCTCGTCCAATAAGACCAGAGAGTTTGTTCAAAAAGTGGAGAGGGCGGTTCTTTCCTAAAACTTGGGAGAATCCTTCTATATACCTTTACTTTCATACATTCAACAAGAAACGTTATACTTTCCTACGGATCACCATGACTAACTGTGATGCCAAATATCCCATTTTTATGTGGGAAAAAATTTGTCAGCCGAACGGTACATGGTTAAAATCTTAAAGCTGGGGTACCTTATTTTATCGACAAGCAAATGGTGGGATTGTCTTTAAAACCAATAAGCTAGTTCCCTGCTCTAAAGATCAAATGTTTTCTTCTAAGATCAATGGATTTCTTTACATCAACTTTTATTCTTGTTTGTGTATGTTTTATATTGTTTAGTTTTTTCAGATCAACAGTTCATTTGTTATCGACGGCACTGGACTCACCTTCACCAAGATCAGTTATTGTTTCATTTCCTAGCTTCATTCTTCCATTTATTGTACATTTGTTTTCTGTAGAGGTGCTTCCTGATTCGTTGCCTGATTATTCAAAACGCTACGTCTTGCTACAGGTCGCCAGTACAAAATGTAAACCTAAAAACCTTTCATATCAGTTGAGTTTTTATCCGAAATGTTGCAGTCAAAAGATACATATTTGGTTATAATGTTGATGATTTTCCAAAAGGTTCCCAGCACTACCATGTTAGCATAGCATCATGTTAGCATAGCATCAGACAGACCCTAAAGCTGCGGCCTCTTCCTTTCTTCTTCTGTCGTAAAGTCACCTTGGTTATTCAGAATGAGGTATTATACAACACATTATAATTGTTACAGCTTGGTCTGATTCATTCACAAAACTTTTGACTTTTAAGGACCTTCTGTCGGGACAAACAACATGGATTATTTATGAATATAAATAGTTATGAATCCCAGCTTTAAAGTCAGTATGACACGCTCGGCTACTTTTAAAATAAAATTCAGTCACAGCAATTGTCATTCAGAAGTCTTTTTTATTGCCATTTTTTTGCTTTTGAATTTCTGGTTGTTAAATGATGACATCACATCGGATTTGTGTGTTTTTCCATGGATACAAAATATAATGCATTTATGTAAATTGAGTGATTATTTTCTCTATTTTCTATTTATTCAATTTCACATTAATCAAAGTATATTGTGTGTGAATTTTGGTTGGAGTTGCCCAGTGACCACCCATCGAGGTTCTGGAAGTGGCATCCCCCATACAAAACGCCTTAGCGATTTCCAAACATCCAGTTATCAAGAGTTTGAAGACACAACAGAGGCTAACTAGCTACTCGGTAACTGCAGCCGAACGAAACGCCAATAAAACCTGAAATTTTCCTTAACTTTTTGGTTTTTAATATTTGTAAAACGTATTAACGTAGGTCATTTACTCACAAGATGTTGATCAGTCTTCAATCTTTTTTTCATCATTATTTTTATAAACTCTTGCGAGGATTTGGTCTGGAGAATTTTACTTCCCAAAACCTGGGCGGAAAACTTCCACTTTGCCGCTCCCACCCGAGTCTCCTCAGTGTGATGTCATCATAGAACTTTGAAAACTTTTGCTTTCTGTAATTTAGTGTATTTATTCACATTTTCTTTCATTATCTGCTTCCTGATTGGTCCAATATATATATACATTTTGTCCTCTATACACTCGAAAACATGTTGGAAGAATGTGACTACTTTATGAGCCAAAATCCAGCAAAAGCTTCTTAGCAACCGTTGTCATGATCACAATGTAGACACACAGATAAGTAGGGGGGGGGGGGAAAGTAGGGAAAACAAAATTATAAATATTTGGAAACTTAATTCAACATCCTGCAGAATATCAGACCTTTAATAGTAACTTTACAAGGCAAAACATGAGTTAACCGTTTGTGCTAAATCTGTTACTATGGCGACGTCTGAGGCTGTAATGTAACGACTGTAGTTTGCGTTGGAATCCCCAAATAACATTGAATTTAGAACATTATGGCCTATAATGTATTTTAAAGGCCCTCAAACGTGACTGTGGCCTCACATGGACAGGGGCCCTCTGCACATGGAGGAAGCAGCACGGCTCAAATTCACCACGATGCACTTAGGGACTGCTGTTTCCTGGGACCGAAAGCCCTCTGCTTTTCACAGAAGAGGCTTTGGAGCTGAGGCGGGGGCAGGTAGTGACAGAGGGCACCTTAATCAGGGCACTTAGATCACAATTATGCACTGATTTATAAACAAGACCAATGCAAACCTGAAGAGGAGGAAAAAGACACAGGTTATAGAGATGTATCGGCAGCACGGACAATATCCAGACAGCATCTTTAGCTCATTCATCAAAGTTATAAACAAAATAGGATGTGCCACATTTGTAAAGCCCTTTAAAAGCTCGGGTACTTAACTTTCAAACCATAGGAACGTGTAATAAAACTCATGTAACTTGTTTCTGGCTCTCAATAGTATTATCATGTGTATTTTTTGTAACCTTTGTCAGGGATATGAAAAGAGAAGCTCACCCAACTTTTAAACAGGTATGCAAAATATAGTTTTCGAATAAGATGAATAATTTACTTTAACATGACTCTTTAGGTCGACACAATTGCAAAAATGTATTATCTATATATTTATTTTTAAAGTTAGGTACCCCAGCTTTAATGATGTATTAGGGAACAATGAGATCT